TTTTTTGTCTTTTTGAGACTGGGTATCACTATGCAGTTCAGGCTGGCCTTGTGCTCACAATGATCCTCCTGCCTCAACCTCCTGAGTACTGGGATTACAGGCATGTGCCACCAAGCCGGGTTTTGTTTTGTTTTTTCTTAACATAGGTTTGTATGGTGGTTTACCTGAATCCTTTTCTATCACATTCAAAAATAAGAAATTAGTTTTCCTAAACTTTTAGAAAATCTGGGTCTAACTTCACTGAGCTTTCTTCTGTCTTCCTGTTGAGTTTTAAAATGTGGTGACTTGGGGCTGGGGATTTAGCTCAGTGGCAAAGTGCCTTCCTGGCAAGCGCAAGGTCTTAAGTTCGGTTCCCGGTAATGGAGAAAACCAAAAAAAAAAACAACAACAAAAAAAAATGTGGTGACTTGATTTTAAGGGTTCTTGATTCTGTTCCCCTCCAGCTCCTTCAGAAACTTTCATACTCAACCACTACTGGATTAGGCAACACCATGCTCAGTGTCATCTGCTGTTCTCACATCAGCCCATTGAACTTTCTAGAAAATACTCACTGACTTCCTCCCCGACAGAGGCTGATACCATGGCTTGCTTATGGCCCTTAGTAACTCATTTTTCTGTAAATGCTGCCATAGGTTTTCGGTTTTGCCCTCTAGTTGCTCTGTTTTTACGAGAGAATTCAGAGAGACTTAAAAACCATGTCACCTCAGCTGCTCCTGCCACTACCTGTGCAGAGTTAGGAGTGTATTTTAAAGATCATGAGAATTCTTTCTATGAAAAATTTCTTGAAACAAAATACTTTCAAAATCTTACAACTTTGTCATAAGTAAAACAAGTAAAAAAGATTTCTAAAAAGTACCCATTCTTTCCTGCTTACCTCAAAAAGTCTGAACAAGCGGTATCTTATCTCATATTCAGTCCACAAGACCATAAAAAAGGCATTCAGTGAGATGGTGCTAATCATAATCACCCGAAAGAGATGACTCGTTATGATTCTCTTCACAAATGCTTGGCATTTTCTATCTTTCCTCCTGTCAGAAAGGTAAATAAGAGTTATGGTTATCACTTAACAGAGCTAAATTCCCACACAATAAATATCTTTTTTATTGGAGGGACAAGGGTCTGTTTTCCCCCATCTGTAAATATAAATTTACATATACTTTTAAATAGCAGTGAATGAAATATACATGATGATCATGGAAGGCCTGTTCCCACTCAGTTCCTTCTCCCTGGGCCTATGGAAGAGTGGCCACTCCTTTGCAAGCCAAAGAAAAGGATCATCATCATTTACTTAGGCAAAAAATTTTTATTGTGCAACTATTATATGCAGATAGTATAATAGGCACTGGGGAAACAATGAACAAAACTAAATGCAGTCAGTCTGGTAGGAAAAACTGATAATAATCAAATGAACATCAATACAAGTGCTACAAATCAACAATTAAAAAATATGAAGATCCTAAAAGAAAATGGGCACATAGTCCATTCAGGAAAGAAATACAAATGGCTAATATTTTCCTTAAAATATCAGGGAGATGCACAATATTACCATTATTTTTACTTATAAAATAAGCAAAGAATTAAACATGGTATTGTTTAATCCTGGCAAAAGTAAAGTAGGGTAAGAATTATTTTCTAAACCCACCCGGGAAATCTAAGTTGATCAGCTTCTCTAAAAAACCCCAGAATTATTCATTTTCTCTCTCCCATGGAATCTACCTGAAGAGAATACAATCTGAACGCACACAGTAACTTTGGCTAGAGGTGTTTATCCCAGTATTAGTTATAGTAGCGAGAATTTAAGGCCAATTTAAATCTAACAAAAAGAACTTGTTAAACCATGGCACATCTATCTCATGAAATACAGATACTAACATATGTCTATGCATTTTTTAATGTCTTGGGAAAATGTTTGATTAGTAGAGAGCAAGACACAAAAGCAAAGTAAAATACAAAGTTTGCAGTTTAAAGTAGTCTCACCTGTGCAAAAGTGGTTAGCACTAGCTCAGCAGGAAATATGCTAAAACAATAATAGTGTCTGCCTGTGGAGGCTGAGGTTACAAGTCATTCTTCACCCCATTTACATATATCTGTGCCTTACAAAATTTCTCAAAGAATGTTATTTTTCCTACTGTGCAAAACAAATGAACCTAGTCTTACAAAGGTAAAAAATATAGAATGTAGTGGGCATACTGGTCTGTGCTTATAGTCCCAGCTACTCAGGACACTGAGGCAGAAGGGTTGCTTGAGGCCAGAATTTTAAGGCCAGCCTGAGCAACATAGCTATGAACCCCATCTCAACAGAACAACAAAACAAAACCAGAATTATATACCTTTACAATCTATAAAAACAAGATGTATACTTTTCATTGTCTGACTTGAGATAGGATCCATTTTAAAAACCCTTCAAATTATTAATATAGGGTTTTGTTTTTGTTTTTCTTCCAGTAGCAGGAATTGAACCCATGACCTTGCACTTGCCAGGCAGGCACTGTGCCACTGAGCTAAATCCCTAGGCCCCAAATTATTAATATAGTAGAAAAAGACAGCACTAAATCAAACTAGTCACTCAATCTGTGGGTCAGTAACAGTGTGCCAATCTCACTAATCAGAGAAACCCAACTTCCAGGGATGTGCCCCTCCATCTGAGAAGTACACAGTGTCTGTGGAAGAGCCAGACACCCTGCCACTATAATGCCCTTCACAGATTTCTTAACAGACAAAATAGAGAATATTTACTTAAATTTCCTGAATCTCTGAGAGAGCTTATCTGATGCCATATCAAACACTGAACTATAAAAGACTTCTGTGGAGTCTTGTCGAAAGGCCTCAGACATTTTCCAAAGTTTCAATTTTTATTCCTCGCTTTTATCATCCAACTAAAAACTCTCTGTTTAAGGATTTTCTCTACATCTGGATTCCAAGGGTCAGCAGAGAGGGCACACCATGGGAACCTCTGCTTTGTGAGGTCACTCTTGGGCATTCCAGCAGTCACTAGCCTGCACATCCCTCATGCAGAGCTCCCGGCAGCACTATCCATGGATCCTTCTACCCCAGGAGACGGGGGCTCCTCGGCATAGCAAAAGGGTCATGAGCACCCAGCAATAGTAAAGCTCTGGAACACTAGGAGACACTATAGATGGGCCTGTCAAAGCCCTTCTTTCTTCAAATGTCCCATCTGGTAGAGAAAGGCCTTTAATAATATGTTAGAAAAGTTAAGGATCACATAAGAGGAAAAAAATGTTCTGCAGGGTTCTGAGAATGAGAAAACACATCCAGGGCCAGCATGAGAAATTCCTGGAAGAAAAAGATCATGATGGGTTTGAGGCCAAGACAAAGGAAAGAGGAAGAGCAGAGCAGGTAACATAGGCCCTGCACTGGTTAACTGGGGGCATGGATAGACACATACGAACCTTCTCACAGGAGCATAAAGGATGAGCCTGGGGGCTAGATATTATTTAAATACAAGAGTTATAGGAATTCTTGTTCTGTTCAGATCTCAAGATTAACAGACCCTCCTCCCTCTAACCCCTGTGGCTTTCAAGACAAGACAGAAATCTGAAAAGTTAATATGTTGTATTGTTCAGTGATTACACTGATCAGTAGAAGAAAATGTGAGAATCTCTGCTATCCCTGTTATTCTTTTTAAAATTAATTTTATTGGTACTCTCTTGACATACATGATGTTCAACATTCACCACAGGAAATGTGTACCGTACGTACCCTAATTTTTTTCCACATTCTCTTCCCTTCCCTTCTTCCCCTCTCTCTTCACAAAACTTTGTATTTATTGTTTTCCTTCCTTTTTAAATTTTTTTACCCTATTCTCTCCCCTCTATTCCCCCTCCCCTGCGCTCCTTGAACATTTTCTTACTACTTCCCAATAGCTATCATCCACTTTGGTCCTTATTTACCCTTACAGTTTCTCACAGAGAGAAACAATATTTAAACATGTGTTCAATTTATTTCACTTAAAATTATGGTCTCATGGTGCATCCAGTTTCCTACAAATGACTAAAGTTTATCCTTTATGGCAAGAGTAGTTCCCCCTTGCATAAACATCATATTTTCTTTATTCATCTATCCCAAGGATGAGTTATGATAAACTGTTCTACTATAAACATGAGTGTGCATGTATTACTGTGGTATGATGCTTTTCACTCCTTTGGGAATATACCTACGAGGGGAACAGCTGGGTCAAATGGAACCTCTGGTTTTAGACTTTTGAGGAATCTCCATACCGACTTCCACAGTGGTTATACCAGTGGTTGTCCTACTTTACATTCCCACCTACAATGGATACGTTCCTTTCCCGCACAGCCTTACAAGAATTTGTTACTGGTTGATTTCCATTCTTTCTGGATGAGAAAGAACCTCATTGTTCTATTTTCATTTCTCAACTAACCAGTGATACTGCACATTTTTTCATATATTTATTTGCTGTTTGTACTTATTCATCTGAGAAATGCCTATTCAAGTGCCCATTGTTTGACTGGGTCTTTAAATTTGGGGAGTCTGGTTTTCTTGAGTTCCTTATTTTGTGTGTGTGTGTACTGGGCATCAAACTGAGGACCTCATGCTTGCCAGGCAGGTGATGGGCAACTGAGCTACATCCCTGGCCCTTGAGTTGTTTATATATTCTAGTTATTAGTCCTTTGTCTAAAGAGTAGCTAGCAAAATTTTTTCCAATACCGTGGGTTAACTCTTTTCTTGGTTCTTGGTTTCTTTTCTGTGCAAAGCTTTTAAATATGATGTGATCCCAATTATTGACTCTTTCTAATATTTCCTGTGCAATCAGAGTTTGTTCATAAAGTCTTTGCCTACACCTCTGCCTTTCAGAGATTTACTTGTCCTGTATTCCAGCAGGTTGAGTGTTTTAATATTTAATATTTATATCTTTGATCTACTTAAATGTTAGCTTAGTGTGTGGTAAGAGAGACAGGTCTAGGTTCAATGTTTGCTCAGTTTCCTAGAACCATTCATTAAAGAGGCTCTCTTTCTTCCAGTGGGGTTGTTTCGCTCTTGTGAAAATAAGGTAATTGAGTATGTTTAGAGATGTTTGTGCATCTTCTATTTGGTCCCCTTCATCCTTGTGCCTGTTTGTGTGTTTGTTTTGCCCATACCTGGTGTGTTTATCATGGTAGTTTTGTAGTATAACTTCAGGTGTAGGATCATGATGCTCCTTGCCTTGCTTTTGTTGCCCAGAATTGCTTTTGCTATTCTAGGTCTCTTCTGGTTCCATATGAATTTTAGGATTGCTCTCTCTAGTTCTGTGAGGTGTGCTATTGGAATTTTGATTGGGATTGCATTAAATCTGTACAACAGTTTTGTCCATTTCACTCTGTTAGTCTGCCTACCCAAGAATAAGAGATATCTTTTCCTTTTCTGATATCCTCTTCCATCTCCCTTCTCAGAGTGCTGTAGTTTTCAATGTAAAGGTCTTTTACTTCCTTCATCAGATTTATTCCTAAGTACTTAATTTTTCTTGATGCTACTGTGAAAGATTTGGTTCCCCTAATTTCTCTCTCAGTGAGTCTGTTATTCATGTGCAGAAATGCTATTGACTTTTGAGTGTTCACTTTGTGTCCTGCTGTACTGCTGAATTTGGTTATTAATTCTAGGAGTTTCTGTGGGCGCTTTTGGGGTCTTCTATGTAGAGTATTATGTCACCCACAAATAATGATAATTTAACTTTCTCCTTTCCTATCCTTATTTCTTTTATTTTGTTCTCTTCTCAGATTGCTTTGGTTTACACTTCCAGAACTATATTGAATTGGAGTGGTGATAGTGGACAACCTTGTCTTGTGCCTGATATTAGAGTGAAAGTTTTCAGTTTTTTACCATTAAGTATAATGTTAGCTGTGGGTTTGTCATAGATAGCTTTTATCAGGTTGAGATAAGACTTTCTATTCCAATTTTCTGTGGGGTTTTTATCATGAATGGGGATATTGGACTGTATCAAATGCTTTCTTTCTATTGAGATAATCTTGTGGGTTTTGCCCTTGGTTCTATTAATGTGGCACATTATATTTATTGATTTGCATATGATTTATTTGTATATGGATCCATATATTTGCATATGGATCCCCCTGCATCTCTATGATGAATCCTATTTGGTCATGGTATATAATCTTCTTGATGATTTGCTGCATCCTGTTGTCCAGTATCGAGGACTTTTGCATCTGTGTTCATTAAGGAGATTGGCCTGTAGTTCTTTATTTGGTTGGGTCCTTCTCTGGTTTGGGTATCAGTGTAATGTTTGCTTCTGGAAATGAGTTTGGGAGTATTGTTTCCCTTCCAATTTCATTAAAATGTTCAAGGAGTAGTGGCATTAGATCTTCTCTAAAGTTCTTGTAGAATTCAGCAGTGAATCGGTCAGGACCTGGGCTTTTCTTTGTTGGTAGTTTGTTTTTAAGTCTTTAATTTTATTGACTGATATGGGGTTATTTAGCATTTTTCTGATCTTCTTGACTTGGCCTTGGTAATTCCTATGTATGTGGGAATCTGCTCATTTCTTCTGGTTTCCTCTCAGAATAGGCATTGATCTAGATTTCTGCAGTCTGTTGTGATTTTGCCCTTTTCATTCCTAGTTGCATGGATTTAAGTCTTTTCTTTCCTTTTTTTTTATAAAGTGGACTAAGGGTTTGTCTATTTTATTTAATCTTAAAAAGAACCAACTCTTCCATTCATTGATTCTTTTTATTGTTTTCTTGGTCTCAATTGCCTTAATTTCAGCTCTGATCGTTCTAACTTCCCTCATATGAGCTTTCAGTTCAACTTGCTCTTCTTTTTCTAGAAGCTTGAGGTTCAACATTAGATCATTTTAGTTTGTTCTGTTTCTCTGGTGTGGGAATTCAACACTATAAATTTCCCTCCTAGGACTGCTATCATTGCATCCCATAATTTCCAGAATGTTGCATTGGCATTATTGCTTAGTTGTAGAAACTAGTATCATTTTTTTTTTTTTTTGAGACAAGATCTCACTATGTAATGCAGACTGACCTTGAACTTGCTTATGTAGCCCAGGCTTTCCTCAAACTCACAGTGATCCTCCTGCCTCAGCCACAGGATCAGAACTAGTGATCCTAGAAGGTGGCATTGGCCACCTTGTAATTTCTTCTTTAATTTCATCTATGTCCCATTGGTTATTCAGGAGCATGTTATTTAATTTCCATGTATTTATGTAGTGTTTGTGATTTCTTTTGTCATTGATTTCTGATTTTATTGGACTATGATCTGGTAATATGCATGGGATAATTTCAATTCCTTTAAAAAAAATTTCAATTCCTTTGCATTTAGTTAAGCATATTCTATGAGCTAATATGTGGTCTATTATGGAGAAAGTCTCACATGTTGTGGAGCAGAATGTGTATTATTTTGTTGTTGGGTGGAACACTGTAGATATCTACTAAGTTCATTTGTTCAAAGGTTTGTTTCAGCTCTGATTTCTTTGTTATTTTTTCTAGTTAATCTATTTGTGACAATAGGGTATTAAGGTCCCCACTTATAATTGTATTAGTGCATGCATGATTTTTCATATCCATTAATGTTTGTCTATATAGTTGGTTGTGGTGGTATTTGGTGCATGTATATTTATTATTGTTACCTCCTCCTCTTGTATTGTTCCCTTAGAAAGTATGTAATGACCTTTTTTGTTTCTTCTGATCAGTCTTGGCTTGAAATCCGTTTAATATGCAAATAGAATAGCTACCCCTGTTTCTTCTGAGTTCTTGTCACATGGAATATTATTTTCCACCCTTTATCTTTCAGGCTATGAATTTTATTTTTAGTTAGATGTATTTCTTGTATGCAGCATATTGTTGGATCTTGTTTTTTTATCCATTCTGCCCATCTATTTCTTTTGATTAGTGAACTCAGACCATTTACATTGATGGTTATAACTGATATATATTGACTTATCTTTGTCATATTATTTTCCTGTTGTTGGTTCCTTTCTTTCCCTTCTGTTTCACTGCTTGCCCTGCCTGATTGATTCATTCTATTGTGATTCATGGAATGTCTGTCTTTATTGTCTTTTTCTAGAATGTCCTCCAGAACATTTTGGAGTGTTGTTGCATGGTCATAAATTTCAAGTGTTCTTTATCATGGAAGTATCTTATTTCTCTATGAATTTTGAAAGATAATTTTGTGAGGTACATCAATCTGGGTTGGATTTTTTTTTTCTTTGGTTTGAAATACTTCACTCCAAGTTCTCTTTGACTTAAGGGTTTGACTTGAGAAGTCTGCTATGACTCTGGTGGATTTTCTTCTTAGGTGACTATTTTTTCTCTAACAACTTTTAGTATTTTGTTCTTGTGTTGAATTTCTGGGCTCTTTTGCATTATATGCCTGGTATAGTTTTTCTGTGATAATGGCTAATTGGAATGGTATGTTTTTAACTTATCTGTATGTCAAATTCTTCTTCATGTTTGGGTAGTTTTCTGCTACTACTCCTGTGAATAGACTTTTTATGTCCTTCTTGCCATCTTCTGATTTTTTTCATTGATTCCAATTAATCTTCTGTTATTCTTCTTTGTATCATTTAGCAGCTGTTGGATTTTTTGTGGTCCCTTACTATTTTTAAGAAGTCTTTTCATTTAATGATCACTAACTGCAAACCTGTCTTCTAGATCTGATATCCTATTTTTTTTTTTTTGGTTGATTCTGCTACATATATTTTCATGGAATTTTTCATCTTCTGGATATCTGTTTGAATCTATTCTATGAAATCCAGTTCTCTCCTATGATGGGCATCATGGTTTCCATCACTTTCCTAAGCTCCTTTATTTTTTTAAAATCTGTATCTACTCTGGATTCACTAACCATGTTCTTCACTGTAGTCATCATCTCTTTAGTTATTTTTGTAATTATTTCTGATTTATTTTTATCTAGAGACTCATTCATCTACTTTGTTACTTCTGAGGCTACCATTTTAGAAAGTTCAGCTAGGTGGCTTTTGATTTCTTCTACCTCAATGCTTGGTGGTAGCCAAGTATTTGCTGTATTCGCTTCAGTGAGCCAGAGGTCTGGGGTTGTGTCTTGTTTCTGTTTTCTCATTTTCTAATTTCTTAAAATGTTTTGTGTTGGTGCTTGTATGGTAGGTAGCTTTATCACTAGTACCTACACCTCTTTAGGAAATGACTTTTCAGAGATGTCTTCTAATCACTTCTTGGCCTTTTAGCTAAGAGCAAGTGTGAAGATGTCTTCTAGGCATAACTAGCCTTTGACTTTTGAGTCTGTCCCAAGAGCCTTCCTGTTCAATTCATTAGGGATGAGAAGTCACTGCATGTTCGGCCTAATACCCAGTTCCTTGGTACTGGTCTATGGTATTGTTTATGACCCCAGACAATCTTGGTACTGGCATAAAAAGAACAAAAACTGATCACAACAACTATGTCACCTTAGCTAAAGTAGTACAATCAGTAATAATAACATCAGAGTCTAGGAGATGATAAACTGTGACAGCTGTTAATCTGCCACTTCTAACTATAAGTACAAGATTTACAGCTATATAGAAAAATCTAAAACAAATCAGAAAATTATATACAATAAATATCCACTCAACAGAGTAATTTTCCCCTCAGGAGAGAAAATTTAAAAGGGATAACAGGGGGAAATAGAGAAATATAAGAAGAAGAAGAGATTAGAAACAAGGCTAAAAAGGACAAAGGATGATTGCTCAAGCTTTGGGAAACTTGTGAAGAAGACAGGAGGGAAAGAAAGAAGGAAAAACAAAAATAAGAACAAAAAAACTAAAAATAATGTTCACACTCATGAAAAAAATAGTCAAGGAAAGAAGAACTAGAAACAAAAGGAGAGAGAGATTTCTCTGTGATTTCAAGCTGTGGCTCTCTTCTGAGGCCTATAGTTTTATGGTACTGTCCAATTCAGCATGTGACTCTACTGTCACTGGTAGACAAGAGATTTAGAGCCCAGATCAATTCTGGATGATCCCAGAAAGCTTGCAGTAGGAGTAGGGGAAGATGCCAACTGTGGGGCTTTCAACTCCACAGAAGTTCAGGTTCATCCTGGCCTCTGGTTGTGGGGGTTAGGGCCTGAGTTCAGCCTGCAACACTCTGGGTGTCCCTTGCCAGCCGGACCTTAGCTCCGTGACCTAGTACATCTTCCAGTTATTCCTTATTCAGTCACTGTGGGATTTCAACATTGGGAGCTGAGATGAAGCCAACCCACTGGTGCTCTGAGTCCCGGGTTCAGTTGGCCCCTCCCTAAAATGGTATCTGGGCCAACCACACTCTCCAGGGTACTTGGCAGACACGTGGATAAGAGCCACTCACCTGCTACTGTAGTGTACAGCATCCTCTGCTCCGTTCCACTGGTGCATTTCTCTCTCCAGGCCTCTGGAGTCACTTGCCCTTACTGTGTCTCTGTAGATTCAATCCTCCTCTCTCACACCATGAGCTGAGAGCTGGGGTTTTTGTGCAGTTTACCCCCTCCTTTTTCTGCATTGTGGTCTGTCTCTTCACTTTGTAGGCTTCAATTTTCCCCTTAGATCTTCCCTGGATCCTGGGGATCTACCTCCCTCCTTTTCTTCCCCAAGTTGTTATTTTCTAGTGTCTGAATTCCAAATCATGGAGAGGTAGATTTATTGCTATTTACCACTCCACCATCTTCCCAGAAATCTGTCCCTATTACTCTAAAACATGTGTCTATATCCATTTCTAGTAGGAAAATACTCTTGTAGGCAACCAATATACTGAACTGGAAAAAAGCACATTATGTACTTTCAGCCACATAGGTGGAATAAGTCCTAGTGTTCTATTCTACAGAGAATGACTATAGTTAACAATATCATCTTATATGATTCAATACTAGGAGAGGATTTTTAATGTCAGTACAAAAAATGACAAATGTTTGAGATGATAACCTGAGTATCCTGAGTTGATTAACACACAATGTATAAATGTACCAAAATATACTGTATCCTATAAAGACATAGTGTCAGTATCTATCAATTAAAAACAAATCAGGCTAAGATAGGAGGATTGCAAGTTGCAGCCCAAGTTGGACAACGTAGCAACTTAGGGACACCCTGTCTCAAAATAAAAAATTAGAAAGCGGGTGGGGATGTAGTTCAGAGTGTAAAGACCCTGGGTTTGATCCCTAGTAATGGCCGGGGGTGCGGGGATCAACAGCAAAGCTACAATTGCTTTGATTAATGTTTCCAAGGTTTAAACTTTAACTTTTCCCATCCCTCCACTTTTTCTCCCTCAGAGATCAGCTTCCTTTAAAACTCTCAGTACCTTCTTGGTCAAACATCCCCTAATGCCCAAGGGCCTCCTGCAGCAGCTTCCCTGAGAAGGCTGAGTCAGTTCTCCATCGCTATTTCCACCTGTCCCACGATGTCAGTGTACGTCATCCCCTGGGGCCAGAGTATGTGTACTATATTCATATACAACAACTGAATGGCATTAGGGATCCTGTGCTCACTCAGTTAGGTACTCATACTGGAATTTCATCTTCAAGAATCCAAAGGTACATTTTTTTTTTTTTTTGAGACTGGATCTTGTTATGTACTTCAAGCTGGCCTTGAACTCAAGCTAAGCTTGAACTTGTAGCAATCCTCCTGCTTCAGCCTCCCAAGTACTGGGATTATACGAATGCGCCACCACACTCAGCACCCAAAGGTACTTCTGTGTCTTACCTCTGTAAGCACCAAAACACATTTCTGGGGAGAACATTAAACATTATAAATGTAAAACATTAAAAACATGAAGAATTCTTTCCCAAGGCTTGGAGAAGTGAGAAAAGCCAGTGGACAGTGTCAGAGAAGAGTGCAGTTCCTTGTAGTGTACCACATGGCATGGCCCACCAGAGCTGAGCGCAGTTTCTCAAGTCACTGACAAGGAATCGACTTGTATAAACAGAAAACAGAAGGATACTGGAGGTAACAAGCTTACACAGTAGAGCCTACTGAAATCGTTTATATTTTCCCACAGAGCAGAGGGCAAGACAGGCATTTTAGGATGAGATCAAGGGCCACCTTTTCTGCCTTAGCAACAACAGCTCACACTCTGCCCTGCGTGACTAGCGCTACCTTAGCTGCACAGAGCACGCAAAGTCAGAAATCAGCAGGCATGGTAGCTTGATGACTCTAAAAAAGTCTTCTGCCAGAATCATTCCTTTATAGTCTGACATAACTGGTGTTGAAACACAAAGCTCACATATTAGTAACACCTGCTGGTATTTCTCAGGAAATTTTACAGAACAAATTTAAACTAGTATATTGTGTGTGTGTGTGTATATATGTGCATACATGTGTGCATGTGTGCATGTGCGTGTGTGTGTTGTGATGATGAGGATTAAACCCAGGGCCTCACACACGCTAGTCAAGTGCTCTACCACCAACCTGTGCCACCAGCCCCTTAAACAGTAATTTCTGAGTGCCAGACTGGAGGAAGGAAGAAGTAAAAAGAATTAAGATGTGTTATGTACACATACCAACTTCTCACGATGAATATAATCATTACGTACTGCAAATATGTACTAATAAAAATTTTAAAAGGAAGTGTATAGACTGCTCCACACCATCTTACAGTCTAACTGTTCAACACATTGATGAAAATCAGGGCTTTGTTCAAATACAATATACAGGTTCTGCTCTTTGCCTATAGCAAAAACAGAAAGAACCATGCTTATTCTATTTATCCAGAGATTTGTTAAACCATATTAATGTCAGAAAGAAACCATCATTTTCAGAACTTTTATATTGTTTTAGAAAAAGACATTGTCAAATGTGCTATCCCTGGTTTGTCATGTGCAGAGGTTATACACGGGGTCTCAGGTCGTGTCTGTATAACTCCTCTCCACAGCAGTGATCACCTAGGAGGAAAATGGAGGGAACAGCAAGCTGACTACATCAGAGAAACCACTGTCACACATAAAGACCGGAACAGACAAGAACTCGGGGTCCTCCGACTTTGACAATGTCTGTTGCAAGCTGCAAGGTCAGTTACTTGCAGCAAATCTGGGGGTTCATTCTGAGGGAGTTTACCACAAGGAGTATTTCCACTCAGTGAAGAATTTTTGATTCTCTAAGGCAGGTGAGTTCCAGCAGATACAACACTGTTTAACATGGAACTCGTGTCAAACTCTCACGGAGAGACAAGGGTGCTACCATGTCTTCATCATTGCATTATGAGTCCTGTTTTCTCCACTATATGTACGCTAACACAACTGTGAAGTCTGGTCTCACAGCCCTACGTTTCAAATAGGGGGACAAGGTTCCATTCACTGTACAGTGAAACAATTTAAAAGACCAGACAGAGCAAACACAAATCCAGAAGGCAAAATATAAGGCAGATGACCTAGTTTTCATAAGTCAATTACATGGGAGAAAGGGCAATGAGGAGTGCTTGCTCTAAATTTAGGTAGAGTAAGAGACACAAAGATCGTTGATGGATGAACTTCATACAGATCCTAACTAGAATAAAATTACTATCCCAAGTCATTCTTGACCTTCATAACAATATGATCTTCCCTGGGTGGTGCCAGGCAGGTACAGTTCATTCTGTTAGATAGGATAATGCCACTTTGGTTTATACAGGACAATGACCACATTTTCCTAGAGATACTGATGGATGCGGAGGTACAATGACATGCTCTCTTAGACCTGCTTTGAAATAGTTTAGCAAAGAAAGTAGAAAACGGAATTCAATTAGGGAGCTGGGCATAATCATCAAGTGTTATACCAGAGTAATCAATACTTAGGGTTCAATACTTTAGGTACCATGTGCTATTTACTTTTAAATGTTTAACAAAAAAAAAGAATCAAGTTGTGTCAGGCACAGGTACAAATTCCCTCTGACGAACGTGACCATTATGTATACCTAAAATGCATCAATAAATGTAATTAATTTTTTTAAAAGTTTGAAGTTTTTCATGTTTAAAAAATTCACATACTGATCTGAAAATCTTTGGTACTAAATGTATAATAGTTATAAATGTGTAACACAGGAAAGCTTATTAAAAAAAATAAGGAAAAAACTTCTAAGAAACAAGTTCCAGGGTGAAGGTTCTCAGTTCCCCGGTAGCTATGGAGCCTGGGTAGCCCTCATCTCCCTTTCCTTCTCTGCACACACTGTGTCCGCAGGACAAACTCACCAAAGCTGCCTCTCCCCAGCTACAGAACTAGCCAGGAACTGGCTTCACAGAGCAGTCTTTTTGTCTTGCTTTCTCAGATTTGGGGCAGACGGAGGAATGGGGAGAGAAAGGTTTGCTTCTTGAAACACAATGACCTTCTGGGCCTATGACCAAGCTATCTTACAAAGATGATTCCCATTAAGTCATTCCCACCAGCTTGAAACATCAGCGACAGGTGCATGACTGTGCCATCAGGTGGCTTGTACTACCCAATGGGACCGTCCCATGCTGCCTGATGGACAGTCATGCATGTACCACCAGTGGTCTGGAGCCACCCAGCAGCAGGACATATGGTTTATGGCCCATCATGAACATGTTAAGTGAAGGCTGCAGGCCCTCAGTTCAGGGATCACAACATGGGAATGACAAAAATAAAAATGACTCACAGCTCCTCTCTCACTCGGTAAATCTGACAATGGCCTGGTAAGTTGTGACAATGAGCTCTTGGCTGGGCGAGGTGGCGCACAACTCTAATCCTAGCATTTAGGAGGCTGCAGTAGGAGGATCGTCACGAGTTCATGGCCAGCCTGAGCTGCAAAGTGAGTTCAAAGCCAGCCTGAACTGTATAGTGGGACCCTGTCTCAAAAAAAAAAGACAAGGAGTTCTTGCACTGCCACATCTTGCTAGAAGCTCTGAATGAGACACCTGTCCTTTCCTTCAACTCCCTCTCTGAAAAGTAAAGACAAAATACACCAAGACTATTCACCATTTTGGGGGACTTCTGTAATCTAATTGCTTAAGGAGCAACAGTAGCAAATTAACTTCAGGCCTTCAGCCTGATTATACAACATGTATAAAGGTTAACTGATTTACAGTGTAACTTGTTGATGTAAGTTGCGTTCAGAATATATTGCAGCTAAGATAGGTATAAGATGTTA